TTCTACTTGTTCTCCAAGTCATTGTAATCCTATATATACTCTGTATTATTCATGGAATAAAACAACACAATTCCTTCTCTCTTTCTCTTATTCATAACAACTTCATAATTATCTTCATACAATAATTATCTTCATAAAATAATTATCGTTGAGGTAGACGGAACTTCATACAAGTCAACGAAGATCTTTGAGATGGTAACACTTCGATAGATACGATGACCTTACTTTTCAAATGACATTGATTTTAATGGGTGGTTCATTTAAAACGAAAACAAAGAAAAATAAACAAATTATTCTGAATACAATATTTTTCTGTGTGATAGACGATAAAATTGTTTTATTCTAAAAATAATTGAAAATAACCAATTACAACAGCCTTATGGAAATATGAGTGGAATATAGTTATTTTTGGGATTAGATAGATTATTTCGCCTCTTCACTCTTTAAGATAATAATGTATCAGTTACCATCACTTATGCAAACACATTTGCGACTCACGAGGGTTTAGTGACTAATTAGAAAATTTGTATTATTAGGACTCGACCCGACCAAGGAATTTAATAACAAATACTTTAGAAAAAAGAAAAGAACTTCAATATAAATCCACACCACTGGTAAAACAAAGAAATATTTATATGTTTAATAATACATTAGTTTCCTTTTCAATAATAAAGTTATGTAATACATTATTGTTTTAACCGGAATTTTATCACCTTGACTAAACTCCTATAGTAAATATAGCCGTCTAGTTTTTGTTACCATGTTTTTTAATAAATATATATTGTGAAATCATTTCGATTAACCAAATAAAAATAAGTGTTTTTATTAAAAAATTGAACTCAAATTAAAAGAATTTACTCCTTTCTATGTAATGTTTAATCTAATGAATACATACAAATCATTCTGCGATAGTGAATCTATGTTTAATACTATTTTATATTAAATTGTAATTCTAAAACATTTTGTTTTGTTTATCAAAAACATGGAGAGTGCAAAGCATCTGCCTAAAAAAAATGCAAGAGGTTGGCAAATTGATGATTTGTTCTATACAAAATTGAAAATAGTTTTGATTATACTTAACTAAACCGAAAGCTACATCTTAGAGTTTTAGCCTAATTTTACAGTAATGAAACCCAAAAAGTTTGGTCAGATGCTGACTTGGCCAAATCTGTATGTTACAATTTGCAAGGTCTTTAACACTTTTGATTAGAAAATGACAAACGAAAAGATAAGTGTGAGACTTTCAAGATAATATTGTTGACTCGTTATATCCATTCTTACCCTTTCTAATATTATCCGTGGTCTATTTTTTTCATTTATGTTAGTAGGTAAACTAGGCACCGATACGCTAAAATAATAATGGTTTGATGGATAACATCTTTGATAAAAAAAAAAAAGTGTTTATCGCTTATTTTGTTACAAGTCATAAAGTAGTTCAAAGCTAACCAAAACCGATATTATGGAGTATTAATTTTATACCGTTCTTTATCATTATGTTTCACAGATTTTAATAATTGGTTACTTTTTACTCTATTTCTTTCCATTAAAAAAACAAATGTATATTTTCGTGTTCACATACATAGAATGAGACACATATATGTATGTGAAAATGAAATAGTATTCGTTTAAGTTTTAGTGTTATGACATCTGGTACCTTTTTTGTCAAACATTTATGTGGGTATCTTTTTGTCCCAAAATAAATAAAAACAAGTCATGAAAAGTGTTTCAAATTCGTAAAAGAATTCAAGTTGTTTTCAGAATCATTGAAAATATACGCAACTGATGATGCAGAATACACTGGCCGTTAGAACCATTAGAGAACAAAACATATATGTGCGACAGTGTCAGATATAAATTGGTAGAGCACGAGACAAATTATTGTCCCCAAGAGTGGTATATAACTATTCTAAAGATTCATAAATATTGTAAATCTTTTTTTGAAACAAGGGCTTTCGTAAATATTGTAAATCACTCGTAAATAAAGTACCTTTGCCTCGGCATTTTCTAAATTTATAAACGATTCTACTAAAAACTATAAATTACAAGCGCCACGAAAATGCGAGAATATATGAAATCCACTGGACAAGAAGAAAAGATATGTAAATTGAAATTCAGTGAACATAATTTAATCGCATCTTTCATCAGCTACGGTTTTTCTTACTTCCATCAATAATGTGTATACATATTTTCGTAAACTCAATTTCGGAACGCACTTACGACATTTATTTTCATAGATTCAAAATTCTTCCGTACTTCATTTTGATTTGTCTAAGTAACTACTAATATTATTTTCGACCGACCAATCAGGTGTCACATACTATATGTGCATAAAGGGATGAGTAACCGGATAAACCGATCCAGTTAACCTATTAAATACTAGACTAATATGGTATGGTTATATAGTGATTTGATCCTACCCTACAATATAATCGGACCGGTTTATCAAGAAAAACTCTTGAAAAATGTCTACATCTATAACAACCATACTTTCTACCTAAAAATAAGTTGACGGATAAACTAGTTCGGTCTAGTCCAACCATTTACAAATTAGTTTAATGCCAAGTTGTCTAAGTTAAAATCGGACTGATAAAATAATGATGTTTTGACCACCTGTTTTGGCACATCGTGGCACGCTATAAGAAGACGTCGTTCATGGTCTTAAACCACCGCATGCGGCTGGAAGCATAAACGTGGAAATTGCCAAATAGGTTTTGTCGGGTAGTGAGAAAACGGGTCCCACGTTTCCTAATGATCCGAACCAATGGACGGTGGAAATATAATGAGGATGAA